GGAAGCACAGTTCCTTGCTCTTCTCTAGATTAACAGGTATATGTCAGTTGATATCGTGGAAGCACAGTTCCTTGCTCTTCTCTAGATTAACAGGTATATGTCAGTTGATATTATGGAAGCACAGTTCCTTGCTCTTCTCTAGATTAACAGGTATATGTTAATTGATATTATGGAAGCACAGTTCCTTGCTCTTCTCTATGTATGATAATACGATATTATACAACACCAGTTCCTTATCAGTATTTTTACTAGTTAAAAATATATCGAAAATAAAGGAATTGTCAGCGTGTTTTTCTGATAACATTTTTATACGATCATTCATGACAATATTACATCTTGGAAGTGTCCTCAATTTGATTAAAGCTTTACACTTCCAGTCAAATGATTAAAGTAAATCTTCCTTTATTTTACAATACATCATATACATCTCAGATCATGTGAACTTCCCTGAATTTTACATTTCAGGTCACGTGAGCCTCCCTTTAGTTTACAAAACTACATACATTTCAAGTCACGTTAACCTCCCTAAGTTTTACAAAACACTATATACATTTCAGGTCACGTGAGCCTCCCTTTAGTTTACAAGACTATATACATTTCAGGTCACGTTAACCTCCCTTAATTTTACAAAACACTATAAACATTTCAGATCACGTGACTTGCTCCATAACTGAATTAAGTCTTCTGTGTAACGGGGTAGTTTTTCTTAAAAACAATGCATATATACATACATATATGTACATCAATTACAATAAAAACAGCCTTTTCTGTGAAAAAATAATAACGAATACATGGAACTACAAATGAACCCGTATACAGCAACGAGTTGGAAGAAGTAATACTGAAAGAGACATATCACGATAATATGTTATTATTACCTTATCTCTCTTTGTATTATGAAATGATTTGATTAAGGAATACAGAGCGCAACTGAATGAATATAGAACACCTGCCTTTTTTGCTGACATAATTTCGAGGTGCCGTGTGCTTAACATCTAGATTCAATTTGATTCTTAATGTTGTATGAAAGGTGCCATTAATCTTAGCCTAAATTTTGCCTCTTTGCTATTATTGATTACGAAGTTAAATTTGTTCTTAATTTATAAAATAGCTTATTCATTCAGAGATTTTTAGATGTGACGTAATATTAAGTGACGTCACACGAAAAGTAGGGGTATGACTATCTAATCTGGGAAGGAGGCGTTTGGGAAATGTTTCAACTTCCCTTAATTAATGTCTAAATGAATCACTATAAAATGTCATCGGGTCTTAATAAGTACGTGCTTAAAACACATTTCTTTATTATTTTTTTGGATGTAAGTATTAGTATATGTGTTTTATGTACGTGCTTAAGAGTAGTGCAGCAGTGTTTAGTTCTAAAACTCGTACTAATATCCAAAACATCACTCAGTATTACATTAATGCAGAATGAGTATTTAGAAGAAGAAAGTGGAATCAGTTTAACAAGATAAGCATGTTGATGGCACAGTAATCAAATAGTGGAATTTTAACATATTTTTTTTATGGAATAGTACATGTTCATATGAAATATTATATTTCTTGTTAGGCTGTACAGCAGTTAAGGGAAAAATTTTTTGTTTGTTGTTGTAAGTTTTGTTGTGAATTGTGACTGAATAAATATTCTATGTGTTAACATTGTTAGGTGGTTTTTGAAATACTGAAACATTTGACGTTAAAAATTCAAAATACGGGTATGTAGCATTCACCATGTACTTTAAGATACAATATGCTAAAATCAGCCAATCATATCGACTTGATGATGATTCAAAATCAGTAAGTAAAATTATATTAAAAATTTTTCTCAATCACATTCTACATGTGTAATCTATAGATTTCTTTTTATTTGCTTGCTTATGTTGTTTTATGTTATTACTTATTTTAAGATACTGTTTACTTTATGTGTATGGTTGAGGGCCATTCAACATTGGTATTATGTATTTGATGTCAAAGTTGTCAACTATTCATTTTACCCTATATTGTTGATTTAGCAACATTTCATGGTGGAGGAGAGTAAATACCAGGTGCAGTATATAGGGATAGCAAAAAAACTGTATTTATATATTTTGGAGGTTATGCACATGCTGGATGTAAATATCATCTCACACTCTGACTGGTCAGTCTGAGATAGACTGACATTGTCAGTTCACAGATATATCTTGTGTATAACAGACTTGGGCCTTTTGTTAAAAGCTTGTCACATTTCATGTAGATACACGATACATGTTCCTTCTCCATTACCGGGTCGATCCAATGGACCCATCCTGTGAACATTAAGTTAATAAGTTACTAAAATGTGTTTAAATTTAGTATAATTTTAAAGCAAATTCTAAATTGTGCAGATGTGTAAATCAAATAAATAATGATGTATAGATGGAGTGTGTGGATAAATAAAATGTAGTAAATTTACTTTGTGAAATATGCAGCTAACCCAAAAGCCAAGCCATTAAATCTACTGGTCAGTTCTCTAAATATCCATCACTTGAACTGTGATTTCTTTTATGTGTAACCATGGTTTTCTCTTCGAGGATTTTTTTTTCAAAGCAGGCATGATAAAATTATTTTAAAGTGTAAATGTACTTTTTGCAACTAAATATCCTCCATTATCCTTTTGTACATAAAACCTTATTTTAGTTTTATTAGGTTTCATTGTCAATGTGTACAATAACATTGTATATTATCAAAGGCTGACATGTAAGCTGGGACAAGTGTGAAAGTCACATTTTCTTGTATAATTCCTAGACTGGCAAACAAGGGAACACATTAACAAAATATTTCAATTCTGTTATATTTTTTGTTTTTGTTTCATATTTGGCTAAAAAAAAAATGTTTAACTGTTATTAGCACATTATCAATTTAAGAAGAGACTAGCTCATTTGCAACACAACAGTACCTCCATGTAAATATGGCATTTCTCAATGTCAGTTTTCAACCTTTTTATACATTAATCTTTAGAAAACTTTCAGGACAAGAGTAAAAAAAAAGTGAAAACTTAATTTTGTGCAGGTAAAATCCTGGGTATTTGCAGGATAGAGTGAATGGGGCATTTGCCCCCCCCCCCCAGAAATTTCTGACGAAAATTTGTTATTTGAATATTTTATTTAAAAAATGTATTAGAAAACAATAATACTTAAATATAAATGATGAAACCAGGTGTACACATATATGTGCCATAATCAGCCAGGGCATTGCATTTGAACTTCAAGGCTAATAGCCTGAGCTCTGTAATGGCTTGCTCCACTTGGAATAAATTTTGCGGATGCACGTGGGTAATACTATTATTCAAGACCTGTACTTAAGTAAATTATCATGGTGTAGGAAGGCCTAGTGAATGTTGAAAAAATATAAATTAGTTTACATTTGAATAAATAATTATTAGCAAAATTGTAGACAGCAATTCCTGTTTTCTAGTACCGATTAGTATATAGTAGTTAGCAAATAACTTCTGAAATGTAACTGCCCTTGGAAAATAGTATGTGAAATATTTTCGTTTTCCTCATAGATAGCAACTGATATGTGCCTATTTCCAATTCTGGAAACAGTAAATGGTATTTTTGAGAAAATAGGTTAAGTACTTGAATTATTATTTTTCAATGTTTCTGTGAAATTTCAGTTGCATATGCTTTGCACATACATTGTGTCAGTGACTCAGTGGCAAAGCTTTAAGTTTGTGATGCTTTCTCATTTAATTTTTTATAGGATCTTAAGGAAATACATTGTATATGACAAAAAATATGTTTTAAGCTGTGCACACATGCAGGGGCACAGTAGGAGGGGAATTAAGTCTAAAAGGTCCACTGTCTTCTGATTTCCTCTTTTTTTTGTACTGAACACTTGACTCTCATGTGAATTACTTAAGTTATTTGTGTAGAAAAAAAGTCAACAGTATTTTGGAAAAAAGACCCCTCCCCATACACACACTGTAGTGCTGGTTATGCCACTATATGTATGTGTGCTAATTTGTATATAGTAAGCTAAAGGTATACTTCACTGCAATATCACTTTAAAAGGAATTACCATTTCTATGCAGTAGAAAAACATTTATATTGATAACATTGCTGGAATACTGAAGAGTTTTAGTTAGCTTCTATTTGATCAAAATGCAAATCTTTAACAAATACATGAAATAAATGTTTTTGCAGGCTTTGGGGATTTTAATTGCTGTTCCAGGCTTCTGGCTTATTCTTACTCTTCTTGCATTCCTGGTGTTTTTCCTCTGTCGATGTTGTGATGCCAGTTTAAAGAAAAAGAGAAAATTGACCCCCCTGAAATGGACACTAGCTATCTTTGCCTTGCTTTGTTGGTAAGTTGGATGCAATTGTACAGTGTAGTTTTTATGTCATCCTATATATAACATAATATTTGATTTTCTTTGTAAGATACCTCATTTTCAGGAATGTGGATATCACAGTGTCATTCGTACATAATCTTCTTGGTTTCGTCTGCTCTATGTGATTATTTAGCAGACAGTCAGCAGATATTAGCTATTGCATGAGTGAAAACGAACCATATTAAGTTGTTAGGAGGTAAGTAGTAAATGTTACATCTATAATGCTAAATAGATTCATACAAACCAATCTAGGACTAACCATATTACTTTCTTTTGATGTCCAAAACTTTTTCATTTGGTTTTGCTCTTCCATGAATATATTCTACTTTGTAAACAACAAAGGAGCTTTTGATGTAGTTCAGTATTTGGGTTATTGATAGAACAACTAAGGATCCCCGATATGCCTTTTATGTATAGTGTTGTAATACAAGTTTAAGTAGTATGATGATTCTTCTTCTGCACTGTTTATTTTGTCACATAACCAAATTTTATGTTTATTTTAGGAATCTATGTGCTGGTGAGTGTGTTCTTGCACAAGTGTTCTCCTCCTTGTTGACCCCTTCCAATTCAGTGGGAGTGTAGATCATCCTGTGCAGTTTTCTACATCTTGTGATTTGTTTATTATGTTACTGATATAAGTTTTCTATGTTCTGCTGTCAAAACTTTAGTTCCCATCAGTGGGTCAATTTCTGCTATGGAAAAATTTTGTCTTGTCTTTATTATATGTTGAGGTAAGTTAAGGTGCTACAAATAAGAATGTTTAGAGTTAAAATAGAATTCAGCATAGTTTCTTGTGTGTGGGAACTTCCCTTTCTTTCTTCCATGATTCATTTATCATTTAGTACATTAAGTAATCTGCTTACTACAGTTAGTTTGAGACATGTACTATGGATTAACCACACTTCACAAGAACAGTGTTTCCTGTCCTGTGTTACTCTTGGAACTTCTTCCTCCATTGTATCTTGTGCTTAATCTGATGGCTATGATTATTGTTTGATATGGAATATAGCTTTCAAAACTAAATTTTATTATACCAAAGACAGCATATGATTTGAAACTGCATTGAGGAGATTTCATAGGTATATGGCTAAATTGGATTGCTATGATTCCAATTTCTTCAGGCATCTGTTTTTTAAAACAGCAATTGATTTTGAAGTGTAATTAGAAACTTGTGAACTTTAGGTTTGTGAGCATTTGTCATTTCCAAATCCTTATTTATTATCTTGTTACAAATGCCAGGAGATACACCCAATTCTTTTGCAGTGGCTTTTTTTAGGTTGGATGGTTATCTTTCATGACTGAATATTTCACTTTGAAAATGAGGGCATTGATTAGGATTAGTTTGTATTTGGTTTCAGAATCTATTGCTGTCCAAAATACTTTGCTGAGCAAGTTTTTCCATTTCAAAGGAGAACATTGAAAGTTTCCTTTATTGAAATGTTCTGTTATTTGGCTCTACATTTATTAACATTTTTGCCATGGGAATATCCTGGTGACATTGCTTTATTGAGTGGTCAGAAATTTACTGTCCAACCAATATATAAAAAATGTTAATGTTATCCATGGTGCCATGGCTTGTGCTCACAATGACAGTTAACCCTTTCTAGAAGCCTATTATTGGTGGATCAAGACTTTGTAAACTGTGGTTGGTAGTTTGAGAAGAGATGTAATAAAGAGGAGACATAAGTTAACAGTTGTGTCTATTAATCTTATCTTAACCCACACTTAAGTACAGTAACTGTTTGAATACCATTTTAGTTTGAAACTTTTTGTTATGACTTCAAGTACTATAAAGTCATCTAGGACGTGTCAGTTTTACAACTTTTTATTTTTCAATGAACGACCATTAAATCCGTCTTTTACATATATACTTGTTTTTTACAAACTATTTATAAAGACCACTTGGCTGGAAAAGCTGTGTTTGTGTGTTATAGAGATGGTTTCTTAGTCATAGTTAACTGTAACCAAAAAGTATGTAGTGTGTATAAAAAAAAAAAAACTTGAAGAGAGCATGATAAATAGTCATGATTTGATATAATCTTAAATAAACATTTTACAATGTTGCCTCTAGGATGCAAACTTTGCTTATTTATGCTGTATTTTGAAAGGTACTGGTGCAAAATAATAATTTGCCTGTGTATTAGTTCACGCAAAAAACAAATAGAAGTAAGTATTTTAATTTTTCATGCGCATCCACCCTTTGAAATGTATTATGGATGACTTCATAACGATAGATCGTGATCATAACTATAAAACAGTAATTAGCTGATTTGGATACGGAAATGAATGTGATTGGCTGTGTTATGACATCATTTGGTTTTGTGGGAGATTCCCTTGATATTATGGAGTATTGATGATTAAAAATGGCAGAAAAAACAAAGTACAAAGCTGTAAAAGAAAATTACCATATTTTTTCCATCAAAATGATGCAAAAATAAAAATAAATATAGGAAAAAAAGGTGCAGAGAAGACAACTGCAAGGTAAGTTTTGTTATTGAGTGCATAGATGTTTTCAGTACACACACAAATGGATCAAATTGCAATGATTCAATTTACTGTTTCTTCAAATAAAAGTTATTTGATCATATTATGCTATTATGATTCACAAAGTTGATATCTAATACATGGATGGTCCACTTTCTGGAAGTCAGTGAGGGATTTGGCCCACTTGAGAAAAATCCTAAAACAAATCTGTTTTAACAAATCTCTATCTGCATTATTAGAGCTATCTTCTACTTGATAATCTGTTAAAGCACAACTATACTTGTTTATATGGTTTCAATTTAAACTAGGAGTTTGAGAAGTTGGAATAAAGCATTTATTATTTTTTCCACAAATTACTAGAATTCTTATCAGCTTTAATTTGTAATATGTATTTTGTGTATGAAAATACTTTAAGTAAGCCAACAATACATGTAAATGATCTTTTGATGTTTACTTTCTAAAGCAACTTTATATATTTGATTATCCTTGAAATTATGTAAACCATCAGTTTATGAGGAGTAAATCTAAATAACAATTCTATGTTGTGACCTTAACCTGAGATTACTTTTTATAAATGTAGTGGTGCTTTGTCTCTCGGATTATTTGGAAATGATCAAACTCACAATGGCATGAAGAGTGCTCAGACAGCTACAGAAAACATGGAAGATATAGTTATGTCTGTTCGCAATGAGGCAAGCAGTGATTCTTGTTTTAATCCACACTATCTTTGTATTTTATAATTGTTTAAGGTGGCCCAAGCTTTTTGAAATTATGAAGTATCATATTATAATTACATATGAAATTTAGGTATATTCTTTATTGTAATTTAATAAAACATTAACAATATATCTGTAAATACATATCAAGAAAAGGTGCAAACTTTTGAAAGAAAACTTTCTTCCTTCTACTGTTAGTATATTTCTATCACTTCTTTGTGTCTATTTTTTTGAATGATACAGTATCATATTAATCTGCTTATGTTTTGTGTTGTGATAATTGGAATGATGTATTTGCTTGTATACTCACTACAGCCTCTTACTCTAACTAACTCTTTCTTGTAATAATGTATGTGTGCTTGGGTTTTGTTTTAAATTGTCATGGGCATCTTTATCTAATCCAATGTATGTGTGTGTGTGTGTGTGTGTGTATCACAGAAAAAAAAAATTCATTTTAGAATAAAGTAAATGAAATGCACATTTCAGTGATATATATATATTTTTGTTTTATTAAAGGTGTTACTGCTGAATTTACCAACACTGAACTTTCATGTATCATAGAGCTTGACAGTATGTCTGGTTAGGTTGTAAACAAAATTTTTCTGATCATATTTTGATATGTACCACTGCCTTTCACAGACCAGAGAGATTGAATTCATTTTGAACAAAGAGATCAACAAAGATCTTGACAAACTAGCAGACCTGTTCAAAGAACCAATATCCAACAGCACAGCTCGTGTTCTTTTACAACAAGCTTTAGCCTACATGAGAAGTAATGTTTCGAAAGGTGTGGAGCAGTTGCAGGACATCAATAATAAAATTGACCATGTGGACCTGAACAAAGTACCAGACACTATACACAAGGTGGAACTTTTCAGGTAGGCTAGGATGAGTTAAGTAGTAGAACTTAGTTAGTAGTTTTAATAGTGTGGTTTTAGAAGTGGATATTTTTTGATCAGGCTATTTATTAAAATTGAAGACACTTACTATTTACAAGATCAAACTTTACGTGTCTTGTAGAATTAATAATTTTTTTTTCTACTCATGAATATACATGAAAGTGATATATCTTTAAACAGTTATTGTAATTGAGGAAAAAATTACATTTCAGGTGATACAGTTTGAGGGTGGTTTGATCTACATGAATAAAATATGGTCTACAGATAAACTGGGATAAGTTCAGTTATATTTTAGTTCTAAGGATTTTAGTATAGTTGTTGATTTTGTATTAATGCTTCAGTTTTTAATAGATATGCATGTTTGGTTTAGTGTAATGTTTCTTTATGAGTTAACATAGAATTTTAAATTTTGAAGTCATAAAATGTATTCTAAGGTCACATCAGAGTGGCACGGGAATGTTTGGTTAGAAAGGCCTTTTTTATAATTGTTGATTACACTGACACACAAAAACAAATTTTTGCAAAATTCTGTACGTTGAATTTAACAAAAAAGTTGTGAGAAAGGATTTAAAGATTACTATCTTTGTATCATACTTAAAGTAACTAACTTAAGAGTAACCTTTTAATTTATGATTGGTTTCTTTTCCCTCTTATTTCCATTGAGCCATTATTAGATACATTTTATTCTTTAGGTGATGCCTTGAATCCAAATTTTAGGTTTTATGTAGTTTAAGAAGAAAAAAGCTAAAGCTTACAAATAGTTAACTAAATAGTTTTAAGTGAACATTTAGGCTGGTCTGACATAAGGTAGGTTATAGTGATTTCATTATATGTGAAGAAGAAAAGAATATATTGTGATAATAATATAAAATAATCTTCGATTTTTTTTGTAATTTGCTTTATATGTACAGGTTATAATTTTTAGCATAAACAAAGAGTTAAGTGGAATCATTTGGAGATAAGAAAAACTTTTTTTCAGATTGCAGATCTAATAGTAGGAGATTATAAAAGTTGCTTATCAATTTTTTATGCAGTGCATAGTTTTGATTGCTGTA